TGCATGGGTATACAGCGCCGGTCAGTATTCCGCGCGAACACACCGACCGATTTATTCCTGGGAACTGGGCGGGGAACGGGGAGAGTTTACAGAAATTGGATCGTCGCGTAAATTACATCGGTTTTGTTAAACCAGTATAATGACTTCACATTACGCACGCGGAAAACAAGTGCCCTTTTATAAAAACGCTGTTTTGTTCCCAGCGCCTCCAAGTTTATTACTAATTACCATTAATTTAAGTAAAACGTGTGAAATATAGGAAACTAGGTTATATAAAGGTTATTATGTATATTTACCTCCGGTATCCATAAACAAACAAATGTTCAATTATGACTGTTTTAATCATATCCACGCATGCCATAAATTATGTTTAGACTGTTTAGACTAATAATTTTAATAAAGTAATTGCGCTTTATCGTTGTTTTTCGCAAATCTCCATTTAATTTTAATAGATTTATTTTAATAGATTTTTATTATATACATTGTATATAGATTTTAATTAAAAATTTGATAAAATTACAAATTATATAGAAAAGGAATACAATGGCCGATGTATCCATTACAATACATCTACCAAGCACAAACCTTGCCTTATAGCATTTAGGAGCGATGCGAAGGCATTAGCATTTCAGAAAGTCAACCTACACCAAGCAACATTTGTCATTCCATATCGCATTACAGCACCGAGTGGCGAATTTAAACAAACGCTGTTTGTTCAACCTAATTTAACTTGTGTCTGGATTTTTGCAAATTTCAAAAGAGAGAACTCATTTGTGAAATGTACGAATAAATAATATCGCCTATGTGATAATTATTAAGTTTTCACAGGAGAGACAAAAAACTGTGCTAAAAGTGAAATACACAACAACTATCTATGTAACTTCTTCAGTAAATATTGAAACTCATCTGTAAATGGCCAAAAAAACTTGTTGGCCTAAACTCTGTGAAATAATGATATGGAACAATCGAGGCCAAAAAATGCATTTGCAAAAAAAATGTCATATAAATGGAAATTGTTTATTTTTTATAGACGATATATAATATTGAAATTATTTATATTAATTCTGGAAATATATCACCTAATCCATTTTTCTATTTTACCAAGCATGTAAATAATCGACTCCTCGAGATATTTATTCTCTGCGATGAATTACAGAGGAGCAGTGCACTCTTACATTGCTGTCCGTTGACCTATTAGACAATTAAAAGTGTAACTTGCTAAATTTAGTAAATCCTCAATTCGGCAAAAACTTACAGCTTATAATCACCATATTATTAATGAATACGACCTGGCAATTCGCCAGCAAGCGTTGTCCGGGCTCTCTGTGACAATACGAGCCTGTTAGCATCGCAAATGGACAAGTAACGGGGTCGATAACCGCACCATCGTCTCTGTTAACAGGTAAAAAAATGACCAAAAACGGTGCACGATGGTACATCGTTGAAAAATCTGCATGTTACTTTTTTTTTATATGAATTCGTACCGTGTAAAATAACGAGCGGCGATATGAATAAAATCGCGGTGCGATCCGACGTTCTGAACTGTAAGTTACTACTTGCGAAATCGCAGTTTCGCACGCTCATAGCACTTGTAATAAATTTCATGGACGAGATGATTTTGGGAAGCGGAATAAGATAAGTTTGGAATATCTTACTCTCTAAAGTAGGTACATCGCACTAATTTCTACTCGCGCCCTACTTAACTGTGCTCCCAAGTTAGAGCTACAACACTTTCGGAGTAATCAGCTCATATTAATGTTGTACATTTAGAACATTCGATTTTAGCATTGCTAGATGTAAGCAAAATGCGGCATGAACATTATATGAAAATATGACAAGGCAGCAAGAATACATTTTAAACATGTGTGGAATACACGCTTGAAATGCATAAAAATAGAAAATTATATAAACTGTTCATACTTAAAAATTCTTCATACAAAAAATATTGATTGCAATCGTGAAACTGTGATATTGAAAGGTACTAGTAAGTTATATAATATGTCATTGTGTAAATTGTAAAATTGTGCATTTTGTAAAAATTTGATTTTTTTATCTTGTTGCCATTTTATATATGTACATATATCTTAAGATATAGAAGATAAAAATTCAAGCTGCATGTTCATGGTCCTTGTACATTTTTACTTTTAGCAAGAAACTCAGCAGAGACATTATTTTTATTTTCCGCATTCAAAAGACAAGACGTAAGCAAGGCTGTTATTACATTTTCTAGAAAATTAAAGAAAAAGAATATAAGAGAAATAATAGAAAGAAGCAAGATATTTACAATTTAAAACAGATATTTTATGATAAGTGACTAACTGATAAAAAAATCGAGCGCACAGAACTGAACCGACGAAATTCGCGAAATGATTTTACATACTTGCCAAGAAATTAAGGCGGTGGTCTAGAACACGTGACATCACGCATTGTAACCCAAACGACTTGAGATTACTTGGGACGAATATTATGAGCTGGATATCTGGTTCTGTCGCCAAAAAGTACGGCGAAGGAAGTCTCGAAATGGCCGGTACTGCCGGTAGTATAAAGTCTTGAAATTCGCGTATTTGCTGGACAAAGTAAAAATGGAGACAGACGCTGATGGTACGTGGTACCACAGCGAAGAGTTTTTTTGTTGAAAAATATACATTCGCTCTTTCATGGCGAATTTAGATTATTGGAAAAAGCGCGACTGCGAAGTGAATTCTGGCGAAAATATCTCCAGCTCGTCTTCGATTCAGCTATTGGAGACCGTCGCGACTGTGTGATACTTGTTTTCCTAGTTAAAAGGTTGGACTATAGAGAGACCATTGCATGGCAAAGCTAGTCTCTTACAAGCTCTATTCTCACAAAAGACACTCCGTCGCATCATAATACAATGTATTGTAGAAAGTATACAGCAAATGGCTTGTTTTAAGCCAGAAATGCTTTGTCGCAAACTTTTATTTCATTCCCATCAGAAATTATATAAAATACAATATACGTACAAATGAAATTCTGTTTTAAAATCATTAAAATAATTTGTTTAAATTTGTGCTCCTAAAGTTTAAATAAGGTTTCCCTAACTCGACGACTTTAGCACTAAAAATTATTCAAATCGATACTAATTGATGAATCATAAATTTAGCATTTTTGGGTGATGACTTAAGAAAGGGTTAGTGGAATCGATAATAAGATGTGAAAGCGACCATAAAGACATCATTTTGAGAATGCACGATGTCTAACTTATATTTCGAAATAACGAATCGAGGAAATATAACGATAATGGCAGCGTTGTTCGCGGATAACTACGGTAGTTTACGATGTTCTATGCTCGCAATAATGGTACCTATGGACCTCGCGTACGACTCGGTTGTGATTTATGGACAACGCCGGCGATATGTCATCGGCAACATATTGTCAAAGCTGAAATATTGTCAGAATTCTAAAATTCTAACGAAATTCGAAACATGTCCGTGCGCGAATTCTTCTTGCGACGTCCCGTTGTATATTCCATTCCCAATATGCAATTTATTACTAACTGTGGATGACAACGTAGTTTCCACATTCACAAATCTACATAAACTTTTTTTACGCCGCCGCTTTACAAATGCGCATATATCGTCACTTTACGCATTCAATAAATATCAGTATAGCTGCATAAAAATTTGTCGACATGACAGCAATGTTAGTTACTCTTATAATGTATAAACAACCGCAATACACACATAAAATTTTTCAGGTTTAAAAATAATATTTGATTATTTTTAATTTATTCTGTAAAATTTTGTTATGTGTCTTAACCCTTAAATGCCACATCTCTCAAGAATCTCATAAATGACATGAGGGGTCTAAAAGACCCCACATGAAAAATATCTCCTTACTCATTGATTTTTTTATTTTTAGTTATGAAATTTTTTTTCAATGTTGTTCAAGGTCTAGAAAAGAGAATAAAATGTTTATATTGTTAAAATTTCAATTTCAACATAGTATAAAAAATTAAATAAACTGAGTACTGCTAAGTGTACACATACTGGTAGTTCAATCACTCAACTATCATCAGAGGGAGCATGAGCTCCATTTTTGGCGGAAACATTTAAAAATATATAATTGTAAAGAGTCTGGAGTCCTCTGGACCCCGGTTCGCATTTAAGGGTTAAGATTTCTCTCTCACGTTATAACAATAGATATTGAATATTTTATCGACTAGCATAAGTGGAAACTCTTTTCTAAATAACTTATACACATCCACATGATGATAATCGCATAATAACCATTTGTACGAATTAATTTAGTAATATCGCGACAAAATTATTTTCGATATAATCCTTCCATTTGTTTATATAACAAGCATTTAGATGGTGTATGTTACCAAATAAAAAAAATTAAATTAAAGTAGTGTTAATTGTAATCGCATTTTTTAGTTTTAGTTCTAATTATATATGTAAATAATTTCAGATTATGTTTTGGTTGTGCAACACCAGTTTTTCGTTTGCCATAACAAGCTCTCTCTGTACTCACCTTATCATTGTACAAGTGCGTGGTACCTTAAGGGTATCTCAACCAATAGGCTGTGCTCCTCCGGTTGATTATATGTATTCTTAAATTAAAGTTCTATATCTGTGATCTGTGCAAGATAAAAATAACAAGTAATTGCAGATATTTTATTTATTCAACGCTATCAACGTTTCATACTCTAATTTCGTCATATTTTCATTCCATTACTCAATAGCATAATCACATTGTATTTATATATAGTTATATTATTATATACGCTCCTAATAATATAACTTCAGATATTACGTTCTAATAATAATACTCATTAAATTCTACGTGTTATTACTCTTTAACGAGAGATGTTAATTCATTGCACTTGTTGCCCCTCGTGCGACGGCGTATTATCACGATCGACGTAGACGGCCCGAGAGTTAAATTACATTGTACCAAAGACGTAAAAGCGTTACGGCAGCTGTTAACCCGACTGTAATAATAACATACCTTGTGATTGATCACCCGTGTTCCAGGCGTACGTCGATCTGGTGAAGGCCTGGGGCTGGAAGAGTTTCACCATTATCTACGAGAACAACGAGGGGCTCGTGCGATTGCAGGAACTTCTGAAAGCGCACGGACCCAGCGAATTTCCCATTACGGTTAGACAGCTGAGCGAGGGATCAGAGTATCGGTGAGTCAGTTCTATCCACTCTTATTCTTTCACGACGCGCTACAGCTTCCTTTCCAGGGTAGCGAGGCATTAAGTCCCCCCCCCCCTGCGGTCCCATGTCGATATTCCAACATTTCTCGTTCATTATAAGACGACTTACAGACTTATGCTTTATACTTCGTATATATAATCTGTGACGCTCTCCAAGAAATTAGTTTACCAATTTCGCCGGGCGTACCATTATTTCTGTTTTATTATTATTATTTTTCTTTATTGTACTTTTGTAAGACATTTTCGAATTTCCATTGAAAGGAAAGCAATAATATTACAAATGATAATGCCGTGTCGAGCTGGCTGTCGTCTCACTAGTAGAATTGATTGTGTGAGTTGAGGTCAGAATGCGTGATTTATATAGAAGTACTTGAATTTCTGCAAATATCCTTTCGAGCCTCATCAAAATTTATGTATCAAATTGAAAGAAATGGGACGCAATTCGTAAGTTATTCTTTCCCAAGAAGCAGAAGCCGATTACATTAATAACTTATATCAATTTACGTTTTCTCTCGTCTGTAGATTTACAATAATAAATGAATATGAATAATATCCTACAATTTCTCGGACCCCTGAAAGACATGAAAAGATCTCTCTTTATCATATATTTATAAGATGTTTAACATCATAACGAGAAGAGAAGGTATTATCGAAAATCTCATTAATCTTTGTAGGATCGTTCTCTTGATCCAGCAGAAACCTTGTAAAGCTTCAGCAAAAGCACGAACGTTTTTTAAGAGAAACTTAGAGCCATCTTTTTTCTTGATCGTTCCTAACTTCCGATTTATCCCACACACAACGAGAATGGCTTCGACCGATCGCTCTCGTTCGCTTGCAACAGCACGTAGATCTCTCCGCCGGAGTCGATGTGTCGAGACAGTCTCAGAGGGACTTCCGTCGTTTGCGATCGATATTATCGTCGCATTAACGGTGAGCCCAAACATTAGTCGTGTCGCACGTGGCGCACCGGTATGACTGCGCGCCGAGAATGGCCCATTAAGATTGAAACATCGTGTCGGTGTGTAACGCTTACTACAACAACGATCTTAGGCAAAGTCGCGGCGACGTGGACATGTCGGTATCGATCGTGTCAGACTTGCGCCGCCCGCGCCGTTAGGAAACTGTGTCAACTGTAGGACATATCCAATGGGTGAATCTTCCCTCTCTCCCGTTCTATTTTCCGCTGATAACCCTTGCTGATAACCGTTTGCCTCGCTTATCCTTCCGACGATGAGATCGCCGGAACTATACCCTAAGAAGCGTCTCGCAATTAAGCCTTCTCGCTAAGCCTTTAATTAAAATTCTGTTAAAGTACAATTGGAATAAAGAAAGGAGTAAGATTTATCCTTATATATATTTGCATTTATGGAATTTAATTGGCGAGAATATTTACAGAGATTTAACCACTTATAATTAAAAAACTATTCTGACACTCGATATTTTCATCCAGGGGGGAAACGAATCCATTGTATGATTCGTAAACGAACAAGGTTACAGAGAATTTGAAGCATTTTTTTGTATTTTCTACGAAATATATTTTAACAGTGACGAGAGATATATGACAGATCGATCGAACCAGTGATAGCCTTTCGCTACTTGAGAGTCACGATAACCAGCGATAGAGATACAATGCAAGAAGTCCGAAAGCAAACATGTAGGACAGAATAGATACATGAAGATTGAGAGTAAGATACGAGTTTATAAAGTGTATGTTCGACCATAGTAACATATGCAGCTGAAACGAGAGCAGAGAGGCATGGCAACGAGAACAAAATCGATGGCTAGAACAACAGAGATGAAGACATTGCGCTCAATATTAGGTATCAGCTTACGAAATCGCATGACAAATTCGTCCATAAGGGAACAATGCGGAGTCCAGGATGTAGTGCAGTGGGTTCGAGAAAGACGACAGTCGAGAGACCATGTCGATAGGATGAGTGATGCAAGGATCGCCAAATGGGCCAAAATGGAAACACCACAAACGACTAGGCCACTAGGAAGATCGCCTAAACGTGGAGAGACAGAGAGAGAGAGAGAGAGTTAGACATGAATCTCTCAAGAAAAGTAACGGATTTATGAAAAAACTGTTAAAGAACAGGGCAAAATACAATAAGAGGAAGAAGATTTTAATAAGATGGTAGTTGAAAATGAAATAACAGTTTAAGTATCTTTTTTGCTACCTGCACTTTCAAGAGCCAGCATATTCGCTCATTTACATTATTATTTTCATGTCTCTCTTGACCTCTGAAAAAAGTTGAAGAATTATATTTATGCTTGTCCCCTTGCATTGCATCGGCGCGTATTACTCGGTCTGCGGAAAAAGTTTTTCGTAAATTGCATTATTCATAGTAGCGATCCGCGACGGTGACTTATTGCTGCCGCCCTACGGTTAGAAGGGTAAAACGATAGGGATTTGAATAAATTCGGTTAGATTTGCCTCTGGACGTGCAACGTATCCTATCTTAAAATTCATCGCTTGCGCTACATTCTCCTTGTTCCGGCAAAGCGACCAATTTACAAAACTTCTGCCGGATCGCGCCCGCATGTGTCGTGCGAGCGGTGCGCATCTTTTCGTCTCGGTGAAATGAAACAATTCTAGAATTTCCGTATGGTAAGAAAGGATAATTTATATTAAGGATTTTATTTTTATTTACTTTAAAATTCAAATGTTGAAATAATTGCGCTTATCAATTGGACTACCGATCGATTAATGCCACCATATGACATTTTTAGCTTCACTTGTGCAAATTAACAGATTAACGCAGTGGCAGTCATCTGTTATCGAAACGCTTGTAGGAAATAAATGTCATTTTAATATAAAATTTTGAATGATATAAATAGCTGGATAATAACGTATAATAAGAGTAATGTAAAAGTAAAAAATAAACGAAATTCAATACATGTAATGAGGATATAATTTAATCTTTTTAATCATATCGCATAATATTTCATATATGCATTATGATAATGAAAATTCTACTGTGGCGTACACAATAAAACTCACTTGACAGACAACATGTTAACCCCTTAAGTGTCACACTATTTTTCTCGAGTGGCCCTAAAATACCAAACATAAAAGAACCAAACACAAAAAATAATGAAAATTTATATAGAGAGGTTTTTGATGGTGGATAACGAGTTTCACGTCAAATTAAAAAAAAAAATTTGTCATAACATTCTTTTTCAAGCATGACTTATAAATCATGTTTATCATACTCAAAAACTTTTAAATGCACCTTGTTTCAGTCATTAATTCATTGTAAAACTTAATGTAACAAAATATCTCATAACGAGAATATTCAAAATTTTTCATTTTTCTGATAGCCATATCTTTTTTCTGAGGCAACACTTTGCAAAAATACACCCAAAAACTTCTAGTTACACATCGGTTCAGTAATAAAATCACTAGCGGCTCTAATATAACAAAATATTTCATGATGAAAAAATACATTTTCGCGACGCTGAACGCGAAGTCCAAAATGACGAGAATTCTCGTCATCGGCAGTCAAGGGGTTAAACATTTCTATCAGTAGTATTGTAAACAGTAAGTGGCAAGAAAATAACGTATTATAGAGACATAAAATATTATATTATTAAAATAATCAAAAATGATGATTTTAATAATATACTACTTCAACCGCAATACATTGTTGACGCGCTTGGAGGAATTTGATACCGCGTCTTCTCAAGATGTTGAAAGATTAACTTCGATGCGCCCTGACACGCAGTTATTCCCCGATGTGAACGAAGGAAATGAACGGTGCTCGCGGAGCGTAACGCGGCCGCGAAGCGGAAATGAAGTCGTATCTTATCTCGGTTTCGCTCCCTACAACCACTCACCAAGATTCGCAAAGTGAATAATTCCCCGATCATTTATTTCGGCGTTCCGCTTTAGCGCTGTGCGCTCCCGGCGCGGTATATGGACAAAAGGAAAGCGAAATGAAGCCCGCGCAGAAACAAGGATCACCGGCGGCGAAATAAAACCGTCTCATATTTTTCGAGACGAGCAGACGCAAAGAAAAGAAAAAGCGTCGCCTAAAGTCCGATGACTGAACTTTCCTCGAGACTGAAAAATCCGTAAAAAGCGATTAAAACTGTCCCATAAAAATTTATGCGGATGAAGGAAGGTTTGGCAGAGAAAATCGCGATATAGGGGCGTTTGATAAGATAGTGCGCTTAAATTGTAATTCTCAGTGAGCTCGAGTATGAATATTCCGTAAGCTTGATACACGGATAGAGTTTCTCAGAGCGGCAAAGAGATAAGAACGCGCCGACTATACTGCTCGAACGCATAATGTAGTCGCAGTGATTTCCGTTGAAACTCACATGAGCGAGAGATTATCTCTGAAGCTGTGACTTTCGAAGCGGATGGACACCTGGAAGTGCTTAGCTTTCGCGAAGGAGATTCCGTAAGAGAAACGGCTCACGAACGGATCGACAAGATCGCGCGCTTTATCGTGGAGAACACTTCGACGGCTAAGAGAAAAGGAAACTGACACGGAAAATCGCGTGGGAGAAGAGATACGCGAGTTTTACCGGCGATACAGCTTCGCGGTTAAACAGAGCTTACCCCCGCGCAAACAGTTACCCCCCTTCTGCATTTCGCGTGCCCGCCCGGCCGACAGTGATATAAAACTTTATCTCCGGTAAGCGTAGTCGAGCGCGAGATGACCGCTTTAAAATCGCTTCCAACACGTTTCGAATAATATTCGTGCGTTGATTTTCGCGAATGGCACTTTCCTGTGCAACAAGTGCGCGGGTTGAAAACATGGAGTGGAGTTAAAAACCATTTGGGTTAAAAAAACGAGTTCACTTATAACTGTCAAAATAAATAACGATTCTACTTAAATACTGTACATTTTGCATTATTTGCAATAAGGCGAACAAAGTGTCTATCGTAAATTGATCCCAATTAAAAAGAATTGTACGATATTAAGATATAAAAATACAAATTCGCGAAAGAACACTCT